TCAATGTCTGAACAAGTCTCGAGTGTTCGTCAAAGTATGCACACCTCTGGCATCGATGACTTTGATCCTGAAAACTCTGTTCTATTTAGATTGCAGACGCTCTACTATGTGGACCAGCATGGAAAAAGACTGTTTGATGATGAGCTTAGTGCTTCCATTGCCGAGTTAAATAAAACTCAAGAAAGTGTTGACGTACAATCAACTGAAAGCGGTAAAGACAAACAGAAAGAGTCTCCAGTTGAAAGAGAACTTCCTGTAGATGGTGAAATTCCTGTTGAAGCCGAAATTTTCATTGGTGAGCAAGGAGTCTCTGGTGAAGATATGTCTGTTGATAGACAAACACCGGCTGAGGCACAAATCTGTGCAGAAGAACAAACTCCATCTAAGACTGAAATAGGCACTGATGAACAGAGGTCAATTATGGCAGAGTTCTCTGCAAATGAAGAAACCCAGTCTGTAGCAGAAACTCATTCTGATCAAATGCCAAATGAGACAGAAATGCCCACAGCTGAGCAACCAGCTGAGGCAGAAACCTCTACAGATGAGCAAACTCCATCTGAGGAAGGAATCTCTACAAAACAATCTCCTGTAGAAGAAGAAATCTTCACTGAGCAAACTCCATCTGAGGAAGGAATCTCTACAACACAATCTCCTGTAGAAGAAGAAATCTTCACTGAGCAAACTCCATCTGAGGAAGGAATCTCTACAGAACAATCTCCTGTAGAAGAAGAAATCTTCACTGAGCAAACTCCATCTGAGGAAGGAATCTCTACAAAACAATCTCCTGTAGAAGAAGAAATCTTCACTGAGCAAACTCCATCTGAGGAAGGAATCTCTACAGAACAATCTTCTGTAGAAGAAGAAATCTTCACTGAGCAAACCCCATCTGAGGAAGGAATCTCTACAGAACAATCTCTTGTAGAAGAAGAAATCTTCACTGAGCAAACTCCATCTGAGGAAGGAATCTCTACGGACCAATCTCCTGTAGAAGAAGAAATCTTCACTGAGCAAACTCCATCTGAGGAAGGAATCTCTACGGACCAATCTCCTGTAGAAGAAGAAATCTTCACTGAACAAACTCCAGCTGAGGCAGCAATCTCAACTGAAAGGTCTCCTGTAGAGGATAAAATCTCCCCTGAACAATGTCCAGCTGAGGCTGAGGTACAAAAATCTACAGATGAACAAGCTCCAGCTGAGGAAGAGATCTCTACTGAACAATCTCCTGTAGAGGAAGAAACCTTTATTGAACAAAGTCGAGCTGAGGTAGAAATCTCTACAGATGAACAAAGTCCAACTGAGGCAGAAATCTCTAGTGAACAAACTCTTGTAGAGGAAGAAATCTCCACTGATCAAAGATCAGCAGAGGCTGAGGCCGAAATCTCTAGTGAGCAAACTCCAGCTGAGGCAGAAATCTCCAGTGAACAAATTTCAGCTGAGGAAGAAATCTCCGTTGAACAATCTCTTGTGGAGGAAGAAATATCTAGAGATGAACAACGTCAATCTGAGGAAAAAATCTGTACAGGTGAACAAATTCCAGACTCAGCAGAAATATCTACAGATGAACAAAGTCCATCTGAAGAAGGAATCTCACCTGAACAAACTACAGCTGTGGCAGAACTCTGTACAGATGAACAAAGTCCAATTGAGGCAGAAATCTCTACTGAACAAACTTCAGCTGAGGAAGAGGTCTCTACTGAACAATCCCCTGTGGAGGAAGAAATCTCCACAGGACAAAGACCAGCTGAAGCTGAGGTAGAACTCTCTACAGATGAACAAACTCCAGCTGAGAAAGAGATCTCTATTGAACAATCTTCTGTGGAGGAAGAACTCTCCACCGAAGACAGACCAGCGGAGGCTGAAGTAGAAATCTCTACAGACGAACAAAGTCCAGTTGAGGGAGTAATCTCTTGTGAACAAAGTCAAGCTGAGGCAGCAATCTCAACCGAACAGTCTCCTGTAGAGGAAGAAATCTCCCCTGAACAATGTCCGGCTGAAGCTCAGGTAGAAACCTTTACAAATGAACAAAGTCCAGCTGAGGAAGGAATCTCCACTGAACAATCTCTTGTAGAGGAAGAAACCTTCATTGAACAAAGTCGAGCTGAGGTAGAAATCTCTACAAATGAACAAAGTCCAATTGAGGCAGAAATCGCCAGTGAACAAACTTTAGCTGTGGCAGAAACCTCTGCAGATGAACAAACTCCAGCTCAGGCAGAACTCTATACAAATGAACAAAGTCCAATTGAGGCAGAAATCTCTACTGAACAATCTCCTGTAGAGGAAGAAATCTTCACTGAACAAAGACCAGCTGAGGCTGAGGTAGAAATCTCTACGGATGAACAAAGTCTAGCTGAGGAAGGAATCTCCACTGAACAATCTCCTGTAGAAAAAGAAACCTTCACTGAACAAAGTTCAGTTGAGGTAGAAATCTCTACAGATGAACAAATTCCAACTGGGGCAGAAATCTCTCCTGAACGTTCCCCGGTTGAGGCTGTTGAACAAAGTCCAACTGGGGTAGAAATCTCTGTTAAAGAAACTCCTGCTGAAGCAGAAACACCTACGGATGAACTTACATCACCAAAAGCGGACATCTCAGGAGGTGAAATGGAGCCGGCGCGGACAGATATTGTTGAAGATGAACGAACTGAAGCTGATCCAGAAATTGCTGTTGTCGAAGAAATGACAGTCGGAGCAGAAATGTCTGTAGACGCAGAGAAATCAGGAGGTGAGACCGAAATCTCTTTGGAAGAACGTACACAAACAGAAACTGAAGTCTCTGCAGATGAACAAAAGCAATCAGAGACAGAGACGTTCCCGGATGGGCAAACATCAACTGACCTGAAAATCTGGGTACAGGAAGAACCACTAATTGAAACAGAAATTTCTGAAGATCAGCAGTTCTCAGCTGAGACGGAAATTCCTGTCGACGAACTGATGCTGACTGGTACAGAAATTTCTATGAGTGAGCAAACTCCTGAGGATACAGAAATCCTGATGGATGAACAAATGTCTGAAAAGACAAACACTTCTGGAAATCAGCAAATGCCAGCCCAAACAGAAGTTTCTGAAGGTGAACAGATTTCTGCAGAGACAGGATTGGTTGTAGATGAACAGACGTCTGCAGAAGCCAACACCTTATTCAGTGAACGAGTGTCTACAGAGACAGAATTAGTCATGGACAGAGCAGATCTTGATTCCTCCCTCCACAGTTACACGGAGCAAGAATGGCAAGATGCAGTAGAGCCAGAAATTAGGACAACGGCTGACACTACGATTGAAACAGATTCACAAACTGAAAGTGAAATGGAAACTTCTGCAGAGACTGTTATTTCAGTAAAACAAACTTCTCTCTCTGAATATGGTCTGCAGGAGAGTAGGGAAGAAACTGTCACCAGCGTACTGTCAACTGCCAATTCCACGGATGCAGCAATGGATGTAAACATAGATTTTGTAACTGGAATGTATGTTGAATCTTCAAATTCTGTTGAAACAGAAGCGATAACTGCTAGTAGTGAGATGGCAGTGGTCGATTCTGCTGTTGATTTTACGTCTGTTCAGACAGAGACTGGAACTGCTATTACAACTGAAACTGAATACGCCATCGGCAAATCTGCCGACCCAGAATCAGAGGTAGCCATTGAAACAGAGAGTGACGTTGCCATCAAGTCAGAAACTGAAAATGTTATCGAAGAAGAGATAGAAAGCATTGGTGAAGCAGGAATTGTACATGCAGAGGCTGCCTTGGCTGAAAAAGACAATGCTTCTACGGTCAAGTTTGGACAAGAAGGTGAAGCTGCTGCTGAAACAGAAACTGAAAGTGCCATTGAGGCAGAAAAAGAAATTCTTGTAGAAGCAGACAGTTTAAACAATGTCCAAACGGACAATGACCCAGTTACTGAAGCAGAGACAGAAACTGCTATCGAAGCAGAAACTGGCAGTACTGTGAAGGCAGAAAATGATACCGAAATAATTCCTGATGACTCATCAGCCACACTAGGATCTGCTGTCTCTACTTTCATAGACCACGGATCGAGCACAGATATGGCCATGCCCACCAATTCCGAGGCAGAGAACACCACAAATATGACACCAGACGCTGAGTCTCATGTTGAGCAGATTACTGAAACTGAGATGGGATCTGAAGCAGAGTTTGACGAAAAGCATGCGGACGAAGTGGCTGAGAATATCGTGAACGAGGTGCTTGAATTTCAGGAACAGCAGAGTATGTCTTTCGCAGGACTGCTCGACCAGAGTCTGTCAGCAGCACCAGCTGTTTCAGGACCACTAACAGGTGATGCAGAAGGAGATGTGTCGCTTGCTGAAGTTGCTACCTCTTCGTCGGTGCCCTTAGAGAAAGAAGGCTCTGATCCGCCAGGTGAGGCACCAGAAAGCCCAGCTGGTGAAGAGCTTAAGACTGCTCAAGATGGGAAGTCTCAGCAAGGCGAAGATGATGATGGTGACGAAGAGTTCGTCAGTGACGACGATAGAGAACATGAGTACGAAGACGAGGAGGATGATGAGGACGAAGAGGAAGATGAGGACGATGAAGATGACGATGAGGAAGATGACGATGAAGAGGAAGATGATGATGAAGATGAAGACGATGAGGATGAAGATGATGATGAGGAAGACGACGAGGAAGAGGAAGAGGAAGAGGAAGAGGAAGAAGAACAAGAAGACGAGAGAGAAGGTGGGGAGAGACTGGGAAATGAAGAATTGGAAGCTTCCATGTTTCAGGAGCGTTTACGCGATGAGCTAGCGTCAGCTATTTCTCAGGAGATTGTACTCATGGCAGAGGTGGAAGTTGCTCTCGAAGATGCCAAGAGCTCCCTTGCTAGTCCGTGCGACGAACATTCTCGAGTCGTGGAGTTTGAAAGGTATTCTTCAAATCAGTTGGAGGTGCCTGGAGCCTTCGGCTCACTCGCTGCTACCCAGAACCTCTCGGGGGCTTCCATTGAGGATTCGAAGGAAAACACACAGCAGAAAATGATGACAGAAGAAGAAAGTTTTTCACAGGCTCAACTATCCTCACAGACGTGTGAAAGTGTACAAGAACAGACTGGTGATGTAGAGAAGAAAAGAATTCCCTCCCTTTATGAAAGGTCAATGTCTGCGTCATTGTCGAGGACCATCAGTGATGATCCCGGAAAATGGCACCAGTCCTTCGAAGAAGCTGAAATGGAGACTGATCCATTTTCGGAGGAGAGACTGGACGAAATTGCTGAGCAGCCCGGAGAGCAACCAGCCGGTGATTCATCTGCGCTGTCCAACCAAACAAATGCGTCTATGTCTGGCATAAAAATAGACAGGCCAAAGACGCTGTCAACATCTGTTGAGATAGAAACACTTGGAAAGCCTGGAGAGTCCTCGTCTGCCGTCTCTGATACTGTGCCCAGTTCATCGAAGCCATCAAAGAAATCCAAAATGGCCGCTAAAACGGAACCCCGTACGATCTCCAAGTCCAAACGACGTCGACTTCAGAGAAAGCGTCTGAAGGAGGTAATCGAGGCCAGCGACAGTCATAGCCAAGACATGACATCTGATGCCAAATCAGACACTGACAAAACGAAGTCAGGAAAGAAAAAAGCTGAAAAAGCAAGTGATGCTGTTGGTAGCAGTGATGAACCTTCACGCAAGAAGAAGAAAAAGAAGAAGAAGAAGAAAGCAAAATCTCCTCAAGATGGAGAATCAGACACTGAGAAGGTATCTAGTACAAAGACGTCTGCAAAGAGGGGATCGGGAACAATAGATAGTTCCACGTGTGATGACCGCCCTGTGGCAGACGAAGAAGGCGGAGCGAAGAAGAAACTGAAGAAAAAGAAGAAGAAAAGCGAGCAAAAGGATACGACTGACTCGGAAGTAACAAAGTTAACGTCAGTTCAAGAAGTGACGCCCACGGTTCCGAAAGTCCAAGTACAACCTGTCATTATTGTTGAACCGGAAGAAGCGGCACATCAGGCAGAGAAAGACGCACCAAAAGAAAGCAGCAGAAGAGGCCGTGCTACTCAGCGTTATACAGGAGCTCCTCGGATGGAGATTCCACAGATCTCAACTACCTGCGTGGAATCAGAAGACGCCATAGGTGGTAAGGAGGAAGACCACTTATCTTCATGTGAAGGAGCTACTGGCGCTCCTGACAATTCCAGTTTACACCTGTCCTCGCCGCATCCTACCCGAGCTAGGTCAAGGTCAAAGTCTCCTGGGGGTCACCTCCTGGCAGCAAACGGGGACGGAGCTCGAGCCCGGTCAAAATCTCCGGGTCCTCCAAACCTTCGTCGTTTGACCGGCCAACCTCTGCGTACGAAATCGAGGAAAAACATCGTGGTGGTTCCCAACCCCCAACCCTTCTGAAATAACGACATTTGACAATCGGACACACTCTCCTAATTATGTTCCCCTCACTACTGGATGGATGTCAATGAAACACAAGAAAGCTACTGAACATTTGATATATACAGACGTGCACACTTGCACCCAACACGAGTGTCACTGAGCAACGTAGCATAAAATGTTTTAAAATATTAAGGGTAGGCACACAGCCCACAGTGAGCATACACTACTCTTCACGTCTAGATGCAGGGACATTACACGTAATGCAGTCTTACCCAACAAGTTTGACCAGGATGTGATTGACCCTTCAACCCAATGACAAGTGGTCTTCAAGTTGTTAGCCAGTCGCATTACGCCAATCAACACCCCCCCCAAAACAACAACAACAACAACAACAACAAAAAACAAAAACAACAACAACAAAATACAAGCAGATAAAAATAATGAGAGAAAGAAACACACCAATCTCGAAAGGACAGAAGTTGTGCATAACATTTTATAAAGAAAAGTTGTTCGAATGGTTATGAAGAAAAGAGAGAGACAATGATTTGCAGCACAAATTTCATTGATGGATTTTCTAAGACTGCTATATTAAGTTTCAACCCAAAAGTGTCTGTTTTTCAACACAAGCAAGTGGTCGACCAGGACCAAAACTGACGGGAAAATATCTCTCAAAGCTGCAATGAATAACATTTAGAGAGATACCGTCTGCAACATTACATAGCCACGTCATGATAACAACATTAACGTGTCTGTAAGGATGTTGGTCAGTCAGCAATGCGTATTAGAACCGATTCCATTGCATAATAATTCAAACTGACATGTTTAGTACGGACTTTCATGTCAGATGAACAAATATGAACAAAATTGCCGCCACTTGTGCCATGAAGTATTTCTTGACGCATCCCGCGCAAGCCACGACTTATTGCTTTAATGAAAATATTAGATGTATTATAGTAACATGAAAGGAAACACTGATCAAAATACAATGTACTTTCTCACAGAGCACACAGTATTGACTATTCCTCAACCGTAGCGAAATTGTACTTCTTGCATGCTGATGTATTCCGAGAGGTTCAGTTCAGCCTGAAGACATGGCAGTTAAAAAGGGCGCCAGCATTGGCCTACCTCTTTACCCTGTTCCCAATAACCCCGACCAAAACCAGCCTGTAC